CACTCCAGCTGCCTCAAAAACACACTCGCTGTCAATTTAGTGTTCACCCAAGTTGCTGAAATGACTTATTTATGCAAAAATAGTAATTGAATTTATTTTGCTTTTAGCTCCTGGAGGGAGATCTTTTGTATGAGGTGTTTTTTTTTCCATTTTGAACTTTAATCTTAACACMACCAACCTCCAAGACAGTGTTTGAAGTCAAACCTTTTTTTCTTTTGCTTGTAAAGTCAAGTCAACCCTTTTTTGTGGAGTCAAGTCTTCACTTTTTCTTGTCAGCCAAGCCTGAACTTTGAACTCTTAAGTGGTTTTAAACACCACACATGGACACTGGGGGGGGGAATATGTTTTGTATTGTATTGTTTTTTATTTGTATTCTATTTTGTTTGTGAATAATATATTTGAAGAAAACTTTATTTCATTTTGTCTGTGCTCACTTTATTATATTTTTTGTCACTCAGTATTTAGYTAAAGTTGACAGGGTACTGTATATAGTAATAATTTTCTTTTGTAATCTGTGTGGTAAATTTAAACCATCTATTACTAGCAGTTAAAACATTTTAGTTTGTTTAAAAACATCCTACATGTCAGGAGGGAGACCTGACTGGCGCCCAACTTAATTATTCAAATTAATAAAATCATCAGTAACCTGGTACCGTCACAACCTCTGCTGGACAGGCGATGACAGACATCTGGATCCCATTCTGAAACGATCAGACTTGTGACTCTGCAGGAGTCAGTGTCCTAATTGTAAAACAAAATGTTTTATAGCCAACTAAAAGTAAACAGTTTGTCTGATTTACATAAGTACTTTTTAATCCATTTTTTAAAAGCAAAACATTGATAACAGTGTTGGACTAAACTTGTTTGTAGAGGAGAAGTTTTCAAGTTTGAATCAGATGTTTTGTTTTAAAAAAGTAAGAAATCAAATGAAGATGTCTCATACTGTTTGGGGGTTTGGCTTTTTTTTGACATCTCTGTAAAACGTATTTTTTGTCAAATCATGATTTGCATTTGAGCAACATAAATGGAAACATTAAGAGTTTTTCACTTTAGTTTGCTCCTTTCTAATGGAGAAACTGGATACACAAAGCACCAGTGATCTTCCTCTTGTCACACACAGAATTGACTTGAGCAAAAATGGATAAATAAATAAAAATAAACAATTCAGAAGAAAACAGGTTGAATTATCTTTTAATATTGACAAATATATTATTTCTTGCATCAATGTTTGAAACATTAAGCCAAAATCTGCATTTTTAAAACAAATATTAATGTATTAAATAAAATATATAATGAAATAAACCATCTAAACTCAACTTTTGCAATGTAACAAAGTCACCCTCAGCTCCATAATTTCTGCAGGCTTGTTGGATGCTGGCTGCAGAAGGAGCAGAGCTTTGGTGGGTTTGACAGATGCCACAGAGAGTTAAAGATTTACAGATTTTAGCTGATCATTCAGGTTTGAGATGAGCAGCAGGGATGGCCAAACAGCCCATTGTCCTGATGCATCTCAGTAATCCAGATAGAACAATTTTAAAGAAGTCTTCTGAACAGGTTCTTGTTTTTAATGGAACATTTAGTCTTATTCAAGAGACTTCTTCAGTCTGAGAAGTTACAGGTAAACTCAGCCTCAAGCGGTGCTTCCACAATCAGTTTTTTCACATGCAAAACAGGACCGGTGTGGTTAACCTAACTGGGATTTTCCTCAAAGCAGACAAGGAACTCAAAAGGACTCTCCAGCCAAACACCGCATGAAAAGGAAAACCTCAAACCCAGACTCAGACCAGTGGTCTTTCCGTATGTTGTGGGGTGTTTTCAAAGAAACAGACATTTATCCTCTAAACACTACATCCCATTGGTTTTTAAACCCCAAAACATGACAAAGACTGGTTCACCCCAAAGATCTGGTACCCCAGCAATACACCATTAAGAGCCAGGAGTACTGTGACCAGTTATACATGGGTGGTGGTGGCGGTGAAGGGGGACTGTTCAAACGAGGGCCAACAAAGAAAATATAAGCAAAATGACACCCTCCTTGACTTCTCCCCCCAGCAGAACATTTCTCGTCATTTGGCTTTCAGATAGTCCAGTCTACTTTTGCATCTTTGCTTGTGGCGCCTGAGGCAGGCCAGAGTGAACTGTGTTAGTATTAGTAACTCCAAAAAAAATACGTAAGGCTAAAATTGCCACCGTCAAGTAAAGATGAATTATTCACATTTTACCACAACCTCATTTAAAATATCTGAACTATAGTTTTAATTTGAGATTTATGAATACTATGTGT